TTGTTTCTCGTACTTTCAATTTCGCGCGATCCGTTATCGTCATCATCTTTCGCATTTCTCCCCGTCGACGTCGACGTCGATCGTCGATCCACTTTTCGTGTGTCCACGCAACTCTTCGGAGCAAGAATTCGCCAGTGCGTCGGGGTCGATGGATGGATGAGTATCCGTCGAAGAAGCAAAAGAGATGGGCAGCACCACCATCGGTGGTCCGGTCGTTATATGAAACCCGCGCGACGCGTCGGTGCCTGGTTTCATCGCAATTTGAGAACCTGCAGACTTCTTCCTTCGGCAATGACTCCTTCCTTCCCTCTCTTCCTTCTCGCGCGTCCTGCGTGTGCACTTTACACATTCTCAGCCTATATATTCTTCCTTCAGCGGATGAAGCTTTTAAATTTCGCTTAGTAAAATTTAAAAAATAATGAACGACCATTATTTTCGTCTGCGACGAGAAAAATTATGCTTTCGAGAAATCGTTTTTTTTATGCTACATGTAAAAAATATAGACAATGATTTGGTACAGTGACAATTCTAATATCTTGACAGAAAACTCGCAAGAGACTATATATTTCCTCCTTAAATCTCGACGTAGCTTCGCGCAGTTAGGATTTTTCGAAACATTTAATTCCTCGGAGAATCTCTTGGATTTATTTAAGAGTGATAGCTAATATACTAGTAATTTGTTATTCATCGTTCGTCATCAAGCTATGTATATACGATTGGCGACTATAACAGTCAATACTAATACATATAAGAACATTAGGATGTGCAACTGAAGCAATTCGCTTCCTTAAACAATTAAAAAAGTGGATAGCTTCGAAAGTTCGGCTTCCAAGTTTCGCGTGTGAAAACATGTAAGCGTGAACTTCCGTAAACGCTAGATAAATATGAAATTTTTCGGGATACCGATAAACGAAGAGATGCGGCGTCTAAGTCAACACTGTTGGAGAATCATAAACCGACCAGTGTTCCAGTGACAATAGAAGTGCCTCCGTCCTTTCCGTATTTAACGCTATTTGGGCGATAGAGCAAACTTCCATGCGCAAACCGACAGACTCACGAGCATCTTTTTCAGCCAGAACGGCGAGAAACCCCAAGTGCTAACTTGTACTGCAACATCCCTTTTCCCGAAGAAGCGCGTTTTGCCAATTGCTTTATTACATTGCCGATAATAAAAAAAATTTTCCCCCCATATTTCACATATTCATTGTAACTAAGCTAACAAGCTTAATTACAATTCCGCTGCAACAGAAATTATTATAACTGAGTACATATGAAAATTATTACATTATAAATACATATAAGATCTATTTTAAAAATTCCACAACTTTGGGAACTAAAATTGTTAACACGTTCAATGTGAGATCCTAAGATCTAATTATAATCTCTCTAATAGCGCGTTCACAAGTTTTCTCCCTGCGTTACGAAACCTATTAATTAAAATATTCAGGAAGCTAATTATACTTCAGCATGCGTTTTATGTGCGTCTCGCGCTTCGTCGCGTGGCATTTAACTTTTTTTCGCCCCCGCTGCGGTCTCAGTCGCGATAAAATCAAACTACCGTAAGTGGTCATTGCGAAGCACCGATTCACGGTCGCATCTAACCGCGAGGATCTCCACGATGGAGGAGAAGGAGGAGGAATACCGAGGGACCCAGGGACCGTCGTGGGAGCGAAGAAGAGAGGTGGAGACAGGCGATGGGACAGGCCCTTTTGGACGAGAGAACGTAAATATTCCCCGAGGCGATTAATTCTGCGGAGTCGACTACCACCTCCGCTTCCGCTCTGTCAAGTAGGCTCTGTTTTCTGACAAAGGGGGAGTCCGGCTGCGGCCAGCGGTCAGCGCAATGGCTACTTTCGCGATCGGGCGGGAAGGGGAGGTGGATAAAGGAACAAACCGCCGCCGCGTCGTTGTCCGATCTTGGAGATTGCTTTATTTGAGAGACGGTCTAACGCGCGCGCCGAATACGCAGCCGAATATCTGCGGTCCTCGGGATCGGGATCGGGACCGGGACGGGGGATTAAGCGTCGGGATAGCGCAATCTCGCGACCGGATCGAGCGATAACCACGATCGGCCGGTCGAAATTTGTCGAATGCCGGCCGCGCATTCGGTAGCCCCCGCGCCGGTGTCTCCGCAGCACCTGTGTCTCCTCCTGGGCCCCTCTTCTTCGTGGGCACAGCCGGACAGACTGAGTAATAATTTATGGATGAGATATCTAAGTGACTGGAATTAGGGATTGCGACGAAATATGCGACGGAAATGCGCGTTTAGTTGATAGGAGTGTTCTTTAAACCACGCTGGCATCTTAGTGTAGACTTCAGAAAGGAGATTCTAAGCTTTTTTATCTTCTCAGAAAGTTAAAGAGAAAATTTCTATTCATTACAGCTCTAACATGATGATTTGAATGCTGTATTATAAGATACATAACGCAGCTTTAATTTGACATTTGTATAAGAATCTAATTTTGATACCTTCAATTACCAAACGCAATAAAAAATAGATTCTGTTAAACATTACGTACCCCAATCGCAAGATTTACATACATATTCTATAATATATTCTAAACATTTCTATAATATTTATTGCATTTGTATGAAAAAATATATTTTTATAATATATTCTTACATACATTCTGAAGTATGTTCTAAATAAGCAACACTTAAAAATAAAGCTAACGACCCTTCTAATATTTTAAAGCGTATCCCGACTTTGAAGAATCGGACAATCGTTCGCTAAAAACATTTTCGCGTTTTTAATCGATCTCGTTGGAATTGAGAGGCATCGAGACACGTGGCGGAATGAGACTCGGCCACGTGGGAGAAGATAAACAGCGTATACGTCTACTTGTGCACCCGTCGCAGCGGAATTACTCGGAGTGCCGACCGCGGTGGACATAAATCAGTCGCTCCTCGCCGACGACGTTTCGCTGTCATTCGCTCGCACGACCAAGTCGCGACCAACGTACGCCTCCTGCCCGCTCGTTCAAGCTCGAGTCTGCTGTATAATGCATTCAATGAACTCGCTCGAGCTTGTTCGCGGGGAAAATGTTTTCATTTTGCAAGGCAGAGATGAAGAAATGAATAAATGTACGGAGTGACTCTCAATCGCGGGCGCAGAAGTCCGTCGACGAACAATCGACAAATGCAATAGATAATTTCTGCTCCCTTTCAATAGGGGTATCACTTAGAAAAGCTCTAAAATCGTCGCACAGTCCCGCCCGGGTGGTCCGACGGAAGTCGATCGCGCGTATTATTTAAGAAAGAAAGGGAAGAGGGGATCCCCAGGAGAGAAATTTCCTTTTCGTACGAGAGATCGTACGAAATCACATCGCGATCCCACGATGCGGTATCTCTTACAACGTGCCCGCTCGTGCGTGATCCCGCGAACGCTTCCGGATTATAGACGCAGGTAGACGGACAGCTCGATCCTGGAGAAGGCAACGAGCAACACGACCGCCCATTGTGCCCCGCGTCGACGATCCCGCGTTCGCGCGTCTCAAATCGTAAATCGACGGAGGATCCTGTACCTGCGGTCGTTTTTCCCAACGCGTTTTTCACAGACCGGCGCGTACTCGACCCCACCCTCTAGAAGATACAATATCTCGTAATCTTTTCAAAGTTCTCAATCCTCGATTATCTCTAAGTATCGAAGGCTACACGAAATGTGGGCAAAACGTTCTATTATTTCCAAAGAAGTATTTATGTGACAAAATATCTTTCCTTTAGTAACTCTTTTCGATATTATTAAAATTTATAATAACAAATTTATTTATTTCGCTTTATAAATTCTTTTCACGCTGTCGTTCAAACAAATAAATTTATATCGTCACGAACAGCAACAAAATGCTTTCCTTGCGATGCTCACGGAAGAAAATTGAACGTGTTTCGTTCACGATACATACGTATATATGTATAGAAGAAAATTAAAACTCAGCAGAACGTAAATGCGAGTTTGCATCCCCGGTATCCCAAGGGATGTCGACTCGTCGGAGATCAACATCCTTCCCATGGCACTCCTGTCGTCGTTACGCTTTGTACAATACGCGCGCGTACTGAAAACGAGTCGCTGACGCCAGTCAACGGTTTGTTTGCACGATCGTTTGGAGGCCAAATGAGATCCGCTTAATGCGATCGAGCGAACGGTCCGACGGCTCGATCCTCTCCCGGTTCCACGTGGAAAGGGCTTCCGCCGTGGCTGCAGCGGCCGCGGCGGAAGGGTCGACCCAACCGGAGAAGCGGGCTCGAGAGGGCACGTGGGGTGGCGAAGGGGTGACGGAGAATCGAGCCATGGCGACTTCGGGGAGGCACGCGCTCGTGACACGCGCTCGTCTCCCCTCACTCTCCTCCTTACCACTCGAAATCGCCCCGGGGACATTAATCCCGTTTAATCAAACACCGGCCGAACCCGTAACCGTCGTCGTCTCATTGTGTTTATTATTCGTTGCGGGAAAAATGAAGCGGGGAGACCGTGTTTGTGCAAGCATTGTTTAGAAAAAAAAGCACGATTTTGCGTAATTTAATCATCGCAATCGCAATCTTTCTTCTAAAAGTTATACGAACTCACTCGTAAGATTCTTGAGACATTTAACCCGAGCGATATTAACAAGAAATTGTAAGAAAGGAACTGATAAGAATTACTATGTTACAAAATTAAACGGTGAAATCGCATCAATCTTGTTTTATGCTCGCCCTTTATTTTAACTCCAACAATTAAGTATTTTGTTATAAGCAACTATCACGAATATAAAAACTGTTTTGTTACTTATTAATTCCCAAGAAGCTTCATTCGCGTGAAGTGCTCTTAATTTAATATCATTAGTGCTTCAACGTTCTAGTTAATAAAAAAATTACCTAAACGTTAATATCTAATTGGTGGAAGAATTTGCAAATAAAATAAGAGCGCGAAACTGAGCGACGATTTAACGTGTGCTATTTGCACTTTACCTTCGCAAGTTGATTAACATCGGTAGTACGCGTTAAAATTAAACGTACCGTTGTTTCTATTATCGTTTAAGCATGATTTAATTGACAAATACAGCTCTTAAGACAGGCTATTTAATTACATGCTACTTCTTAATTCGCTGGTAGGCTTTTCTATTACTGAAGATTAATATCCTTTCATTAGCATAAGACGAAGCAAGCTTAAGAAACAGGTTTTAAAAAATCTCATAGACACCTGGAACATTACATAAATAACCCTCGATTAGCGAACAGATTCATTCCTGAACCGTTTTAGAAGATTCATCCGAATGATCGTCATCAGTATCATCTGTCGCATCCTCGGCCAGATCATTCTCAATCTCCCGGCCGTTGCTTCGTCGATTTCGCATATCGATCAACAGACTTTGCCTGCACAACGTCGAGATCGTGCTCATATTACCGCCATCGATGTTCCGGGTGCGAATCAATCGCGATAGCTTCAGTTTCCCGACGATCTTCGCCAACGGGCTCGAGGAGTCGCGGCGCTTCGCGATCACCCTCGGCAGAGACTCGCACCCGCGATCGGTCGTGGCCAGCCGATCGAACGTATCGGGATCCACGTTGATCATACCGGCGCTCGCCGATTTCACCAGGGAATCCGATCGAACGGCGACGTCGATCGTGCGATCTCCTACTTGGCGCGCGTCGACCTTGTCCTCGCCCAGAGAGACGGTTTCGTTTTCCGCGGTCAACGTCGTTGTTTCCGTTCGGTTTCTCACATCTTCCGGTTCTTCCGGCTTCGAAGCAGTTCCCATGATCCCGTTCGATCCCGACATTTCCGCGGGCATCGATAACTGAGTCGTCAACGTCCGTCGCCAAGGATCTTCGGGGTTGGCGGCAATTTCTATCACGGAGCGACAGAAAGGACCGCCCCGTCGCGACAAGAAGCTCTCCTTGGCGCGCCGTATCCTAGAGGAACGCGATTCTAAGCTGCTGACCACGGAGGATTCCGCCGTCGTCGTTCGCCCTTCTCTTTTCGCCGCGGCGTCCGAGAGTATCCTGAGCTTGTGCATCAAGTCCGACGGTACCGCGTCGCATCTCGCGTGATTCTCGTCTTGCTGCTTCGCTTCGCTCTGTTTCCGATCGAATTTGACCTCTTGCCATCTTTCTTCGCGCTTTCGACTGTGGTTTCTTTCCCTGTCGCCTCTTCCTTCGAATTGCACTTGACTCCACTTGATATTGCGTTCTCCATCATTCTGTGTCCGACTGCATTTGAGTTCGCCTCGTATTCGGCACGCGCTTTGATCCCACTCGGTTATATTTGATTTCTCCGGATGCTCAGAAATTCGTGCAGAAGTCGTCTCGATCGAGCACACGTTCAAGGGAGCGGTCGCAAACTCTGTGTCTGTTTGACGAATTTTTTCTTCATCTATATATTCCACATCAATGAATGGTGGCTCTTCGTTACTTAATTGTTTGTTTAGTCTTTTATTTTCCACGTTATTCTCTTCGTACGGTGAATTCTTCACCGGGGTCGTTGTTGCGTCTTCCACCTTGCTTCCTGAGCTTCTCCTGGACTCAGCTTGGGAGGAAACCTCGTTCTCCTTCGACGTGGAGCGCAGAGGCCACGGCAGCGACAACGAGACTCGCAGGAGAGCGTCCTGTCGGCACAATTTTGGCGACGACGATCTCGATTTGCTCTTGGATTTCGACGAACGTCGGTCGGAAGATCGACCGTCGACGGAGCTGTCGCTCTGCTTTCTCGAGGACGGTCGATCCTCTGATCGACGAAACGGGCCGAAGATCATGCGCTTCGTCTTCACGAAGACGTTTTTGGTGGAAGAATCCTTCCTAACACCCTCGACTTGATGATCGCGTGTCATTTTTTTAGATACGTTATTATTGACGGCCGCGGCCTCGTCCAGGCTTGAGAAACGATCTCGAATTTTCTCCGCGGATTTCGTCCCGCTCTCCGTACACGCCGTGGGGACAATTATCTTATTCAAAGTCTCCTCGTTGATAAGAATTCTTTCTAAACAGCGTGTTTTGTCGTCCCTGGCGACGGTTATGGGAACAGTCTGAATGGTGGAATTGGTAAAGAGACCTCTCGGATTTTCCAGATTTGACTTCTTCATTTTCGGTAACGAAGAAATCTCTTTTACACAGTTGCTTCGGTTGTCGTAGGAGCTGCAAATTTCGTGATAGTCGACCGGCTCGTACAGACGATTATCCATCGTATCGCCGCACATCTCGTTTTTAAACGTCAGAATTTCGTAATGCCGATCCGCATCGGTCTGCAACTCGGGTGACCCGCAACTCTCGTAATGTGCTGAAGCCTCGTTTTCGCCATCAACGCGATATTCCAATGTATCCTTGTTATTCTCTGCGACAGAAGAATTAACATAATGAGATTCTTGTAAGAAAAAAGATATAAAGTAACGGTAATTAAGGCAAACAAATAAAATAATGAAAGTTATAAAATTAAAGAAGAATATGGACTTACCTGAATTTAAATTTGACAATTTCGATGAGATTCCCTTGGAATCGCGAGAGTCCGACGACGGGACCGTTTTTGTTGATTGATAAGCGCAAAAATCCGCGTCGAAAATTATCTCTCCTCGTTCGGCCTTCTCGTCGTATTCTTCGTCATCTTGGAGATTCTTTGCCTCGCTCGTCCGTTCGTTATTCGACAATTCATCCGCTAGACTCTCGATCGTCTCCTCACACGTCTCATCCTTACGCGTCTCGTCCATCCCCTTGCACGTGAGCGGTGGGTCCTGGTTGTACCGACAGGACTCTAATTTCAATTGCGTTATGATAAAACTTACTTTTCCAAAAAGTTCGAGCCTCGGGCGCAGTGACTCGATCGGTCTTGCGAATTTTGACGAGCAGGATAAGCAAGTCTTACCCGTAAAATAGACGATTCGTTCTTTTATTGTGCATTCATGCTTCGCGCGAAAAATATTATAGTTAGATAAATGGCAACGTGCGAAAAATTAATACATTAAAGTAAGATTAGAGTAAGATTGAACTTTAGTTTTAAATGTACCGTAAGTTTTCCCGCATTCGAAGCCGTCGATGAGGTTTCGAGACTCTTCGCAAAGCGCGTAGATTCGACGTTGTCACTTTCTGAAATAGAATATTGGAAAATAAGGAGAGTAATATATCTTTGCTTTCCTTCCAAGGTGCGCAGTTTACGGGAAGTTAACAAACTTAGAAAACATCGCGAAATGAAAGACGTAATTAACTGTTAAAGACTTCAACTTGGTAAATCAAAAAAAGAAAATAGTATTTGGAATGTCTTACCGAGAAAGTCTTGCTTTCTTTTATCATTTTTACTCTCGCAAGTCGGCGTAGAAGGCAATTCGAGTCTCAGCGAATCTCTGAGAACACATCACCGATTTTTTTACACGATTGTCAAAGAGCGATAACTTGTCATCGAGGAAACGACTCGTAGATTTACCTGTTTGCTTCGTCGCCCGATTCGTCCCAAGTGTCTCGATTCCATCCGATTGAACAGTCGGACTTAACGGAATCGCCGGAATCCGGGATCGAGCGCCGCTTTTTCTCGGTCCATCCCGTCGAGTCGTCGTCCTCCTTGCTTTCCTTGCACCAGCTCGGCTCCCAGCTCGACTTGTCCTCGTCCAAAGACGTCGTTTTTCCGTGCCAGTCCTCGGACACCGGAAAGTAATCCGGACTCGGACTGTTCTCGCTCGAGCAAGCCTGCGGACCGATTTTCCCGCCGGTGTTCCATCGTTCGCAGGCCTCGTCCTCCTCGGCCTTGATTAGGAACACCGGCGAGGGCTCGTGGCTCGATGTGACTGTGCCAAGAGGAACGGCAATGCTGGTGGTTTCGCTGGCCGCGACACAGTACACTGGCGTTTGATGGGGTTGCACTCCTGCCAAAGGGCTGGCGGTCTCCTCGATAACGTCCTCGATGTCGACAATCATCGCCTCCGGCTCGGAGTCCTCTACCATTGCGTCCTCCGGATCTTTGATCCCCTGTGAGTTATCTGCGACAAGTAAATGCAATAATTATTACTATTAGTAATTGAGAAAAAATTAGATGTGACAGCAGGTATAACTTACAATTAGACAAATCAAACGTAAATAAGCAAAAGTGAGATATTTATATAATTAGGTGTGAAACAAAGTGTAAAATAATTAAGAATATAAATTCAGAATTTTTGTGTACGAATGTAAGATTGTTTGAGAATGTTAAAAATGTTAAGAACGTTTCGTAAAGATCATTAGTAGAATAGCGTACTTACTGGAGACCGGTAAGACGCCCATCCGAGTGTCGTCTTCAAGCTTGTCTGCAGAAGTGAGAGATTGAAGACTCGCGGAGCGACGTAGCGTGATCGATTCGTCACGAAGGCTGCCTTCGAAGACGCTTCCGTCGGACTTAGATCTCTTCAGGGTCCAGTGGAATGCATGATTCTTGCCTGCAATTACGGAATAACAATATTTTAGCAGCTATTACTTCTGAACATCAACCCTCGCAAAATTACTCAATATTACGCGTCGTACTTGGTTCTTCCAACGTAACTCCGTCCGAATCTTGCGCGAACGGCGTGTAGCCCGGCCCCAAGAGGCGGAACGTGGAGGATCTCGGTGATATCCCGCGGTACTTCTCCCAGTCGTACAGCTTCCTCGTAAATTCTCGAGATATACCCTCGAAACGGTAAGAGCCGACGGAGGTACGAATCAACACTTCGTTGCCGCAGTTTACCCCTCGAGATGTAGCCATGAATCTTGAATCAATCAAAAATAATAATTCACAGAGCTCAGTTTCTATTTACTTTATATTTATATTTAATAAAAGTATCGCGATGAAAAAGGGATCCACTATATATTGTTTCTAAATCTTGAAATTATGTCCTTTATCATAAGAAAATTGAAGTTTCTTTTGTTTTGACACGTAATAAAATTTATAGAAAGCTTTTTCTGGTCTCATTTTTCTGCTTTAGTTTTGCCCGTTCTAGACTGGAGGATGAGCCGACTCTCGGCTCATCCGAGTGAGTGGTGTAGACGGGTAAAAATCTCTAGTTTATGTATAGTTTATGTCACGCACACTATAGAAGGCGGATCAGCCGAGAGTCGGCTCATCCTCCAGTCTAGAACGGGCATTTGCAAACTTATATATTGTGAAGCTATACGTTTTAAAATCAAAAGTTTTAAGTCAGAAATTGGTCGCAGCATTCAGAAACAAATTTAATAAAGTAGATCTTTTTTCTATAGCGTACAGAGGACAGTGATTTAAAAAAGATAGAGCAAAGTACGCCCGCGAATCTGTAAATTAAATTAAAGCTATTCTTGCAAGCTGCATTTAATAGTGATAACTGCAACGCAGAGAGCCGTGTTGCATCGCGCGTAGGTGAGATAAACATTTTATACTAATTAAAGCGCAATATCTCTCAGGTATTTCTTACACCGCTCGAATTTTTATACCTTGAATCGCCATCGAAGCAGTCGTTCAGCTGTCTCGCGTCACTCTCTCGAAGCTCCTTCCTGGTTCTCTGCCCGAACAGCGGTAGCAGCTTTTCCAGAGCGAGAAACTCCGTTTCGTCGATGTCAGACGCAACACGACTCGTCGTCGGTGACTTCGGTCTCTCGCTGCTTCGACACGCGGCCTCGCTCATCCTCCTCCACGTCTCCATCCTTTTGATGAAATCCTCGCAGAGATGCTGCTTCCCGTCGCTGCCGAAGCTCCCCGCGCTGCCGATACTCGCGCAGCTTCCGCGCGAGCCGGTCGAGTTCTGATTTTTCTGTCGTGCATGTCGAAAGAACAGTCAGAAATGTTGCGAATCAAAGAATAGGCATAGATATCGTATCAATCGCGACACGAAAAAGATCTCTTATAATTGCCCGAAGTTTCAGAAGTGGTCCCTGATCTTAGATCTTACTCTAAAAGTCTAGAAGAACTAATCGTGATAAAAGATTTTGCGATTTTGAATCCAAGTTCCAAGTCGTCCCAAACTTTACAAGATTACAAGCTTTAATCCGGCCCTCTACTTGTTACTTTTCGCGCGATTGCTCGCGAGATCAACGTACACCGTAACATCTGGGCTCGGGTTTCGAGGAGGAGCGCCAGAGCTGCCAGTCGGTCAACCGTCGACGGCTAACGCGCTGCTGCTCGATGGCCGCGGCCGACCGACGACCTTTCTTCGCTCGCTTCCAGTCCTGCAGCTTCTTCCTAAACTCGGGCGCGAGCCGTTCCTCGTTCAACGGCAGGCCGTTGCGAGCGTTCTGCGCTGGCCCCTTCAGCCGCTCCCACTCGATCAGCTTCCGCTGGAACTCGGCGCCGAACTTCTCCCGCAGCGCCTGATAATCCCTGCGCGCTTCCCGATAGTAATTGCCGTTGTTATTGGTACCTGCAACGGTTTTACCGAGATCCTCGACGCTTTCGCTACAGCTGCGAGCTCGGCGCGTATCTGCGTTTACAACGAAGACATTTTATGCGGCGACGAGAAGCGCAGTAGTAAGCATGCAAAACGGTTAAGAGACCTTCGGGATTTTTGCGGGATTTGTCGTGTTTCTCAAGCATGGGCACTTAAAGCTAGAAATAGAAGGGTTTATAGAAGCTTGATGACTGACATTGAACTAAAAAGATACAGCGCGACGTATACATTCATAAATCCGTACATTAAATTCAAGCTATTCTCGCGAGGTGCGTTTAATAGCAATAGTAGCAACACAGAGTATATTAAGCGATAAGTATAATAAATTGTTCATAAAAATATTAACGTTCTCAAGAATCTTTTATTCTTATATTTAATGTGTATTTGAATTGACACTTTAATATTTCTTTTTAACCAAACCGATTCTTTTGTTTATCACGCATATTCACGATTTTTATTTCGTTTTGACAAGAGCAACATGTGACACTTATGCGAGTGGGTATGTTGCCAAAAAATTTTCAAGTGTGCTGTCAAATTCTGAACAATGTTGCGAAAACTTCATTGCCCGTCCTTCACTTCAGTAAGAAAGTGACACGAAATGGCAAGTTTATCGAGTGGCCAGAAAACGAAATTCGTTTAACCCCCGAACAGTACCGAAAGAAACTTGAACGATGTCCAAAACCATCTCTCGCACAACTCTGCTGTAAGAAGTTGTTTTCCAAGCCTAAGCCTAAAGTATGTCGCAAGTTATTCGTTACCTTGTTTTTAATCCAACCCCTATAAATTTTTTAATAAAAGCATACAAATAGGTTAATACCAATTTTTATGCGTTTAAAGTAGATCTCTCAATAATTTATATAAAGTAATTGTGTTTTATTAAGAAAAATCAAATTATTGATATTATAAGAATTAAAAGCCCGTAACGCGAGTATCTGATTATTTAATAAAAATTGCTTTATAAAAATAGAATCTCATTGCTTCTAAAGATATCTTCTCAAAAAATATGTAACATAATATTACAATATTATCATTTATTAATGTAATTTCATAAAGCGTAATAAATTTTAGTGCAAAGCAATTACAGCCGGTGACGATTATATAAAGGCGCGACAATCCCTAAAGCTCAACATTAAAAATCTGGTAAAATTCGTGGACCATGAATCGCAATTGATTGCAAACGATGTGAAGAGTCGTTTGGATAGCAGTAAGGCTGCTCGTGCAACTCAATTGGAGGATCTCCTCAAGAAGACGACGAGGAGGCTGGATGAACTGATCAAGCTGGACGTTTCTTACGGCAGCTGGATGCGAAAGGAGACGTTGATGCTCAACGACGAGATAAGACGATCTTTCGACGCTCTAGAACGAGCGATCGAGCCGAATGTAAAGCGCATAGCATTTATGCTGAATAGATTGCGAAGCGACGTGTCGACCTCCGTCGAGAGCGCGGAGAGAAATCTCGTTGCATGCCGTAAATATGATGTTCTTCTCGATTTCGCGAAATGTACGAAGGAACAGTCGGACGAAGCGACGAGGATTCTCGATCGGATGAACGAGGAAGCGCGTCGCAAGTTCGAGGAGATCGGCAAGTTTCGCGAGACGGTCCTGAGAGCGCACGAGATAATGGCGCGGGAAGCGATAGAGATAAACCGTAAAAAAACAGCCGATTTCTCGAGATACCTGGAGAAATGTATCGTCCAGCTGAGAAAGTCGGGCAAGTGGCAGAAAAAAAGATAAAACCTCAGAAATAAGCAAACAGCGTGAGCGAGCTGTTAAACAAACTCGAGAAATGTAACGAAAATCAAAATAATATAAAAACGAAAAAGTTATCTCTAATTAATTATTTCATTGATCAAACGATCTTAAAATTGCGGATAATTCGGAGAACTCGACCCCCCCCCCCCGCTGTTTCGAACTTCAGAAATAAATGCGTAACAGAATCGTTTACCTATCGCGTGCCTTTGTGTTTGAATATACGTACGTAATGTTTCTTTTGAATAAAGATTTATGGCAGAGAAGTGTAAAAGACTTCGCGAGAATTGGTAGTAAAACTACTGGATGTGAAGACGAGATTCTAAAAGAGATCGAAAATTTACTCAGGTTTTTTTGAAGATTTGATTGATAGATTTAAAGATTTAATCAAAAATTTAATTGATAACAGATTATATTATAGATATCTTGCATTAGTAGCTTCTTCGCAATTAACACAGTTACTGATGTTAATTCAGAATTCGCAGAATTCGGTCCAGCAATGTTCTCTGGGGGAAGCTTTACCGTATACTGTTTAGTAAACTCTTACCATCGTTAGCGAACGATTGCGCCGCGACCACTCTAATCGGGCTCGGAGGAACGCTGAAGGTGGCGTTTGTCAGAAAGGCGCGTCTGACCTTGTTCCATTTCGAATCTTGCTGCTGTATCTTTGGCGCGGGCGTTACCGCTTCCTCGATCGTCGAATACTGGAAGTAAACATCAGATTCTGCGTGTCACGGCGACGTGACAACCGTTTGGCAAGAGAAAGCATCGCCGCGGAATTCGCGTTATTTACAGCCTCATTTTCTTGGTAGACGAATACGGAAGGCGCGTTTCGGTCCAAATCCCGCAGCAATGCATCCCCAAACGCGCGTTGAAGACGGAAAGAATGGAAAGAAAGAAATTTCGTTTTAATTTCGGCGAATAGGGGGAGTGGGCTTTCTCTCGACTTGACGATTAAAGTCTATATTTAACGGTGACGAAAGCAAATATGAAGATACAGGAAAATATCGCGAACGCCAGAAATTTGTGCGAATCACTCGTCCAACCTGCCGTTTGAATTCCCTCAGGCTTAAAATGTCCGGCCGCATCCTGGGACGTTGCGGCGAGCTCCCGCCAGAATCCTGCGCGCTCGACGGCAGAGGAGACATCGATTCCGGGGAGGACAAACTTCTGATCTCCTCCTCGTTTGACGGTATCGTGATCGTCAGAGTCGGCGTCGGTCTCTTCGCCGACACTTCAGGATCTTTCCCGCTTCCGCTTGCAGCGTGCATCGTCGCGTCCGATTCCGGTATAATGCGAATCAGTGGTTTACCGCGATTAGCCTAATTGAGAGAACGCAAACAATTTTACGCGATAATAAAATTAATTCTATCTTCTTCTTTTAAACAAAAATAGAATACATTTATGAGCTCCACGGTAATCAATAACAAATAATGCCCGTTTATCAATACATGTAATATATGTCAAGAACAAATTAATATCTTGAATAAAAAACAATCCAAAACATTCTGTGGAAGAAGAAGAAACAAATTATACCCTTAAACGTAGAACATGGAATCCGTATTTCCTCAATTCCAAAATCGAGGATCGGGGATTCGCTCTAATTGAGATATCGAGATAATTGTTAACAACGGTAAAACTCAGTTACAAATGTACGAGCGCGATTTAAAGACTGTCTGGAAGAGATTTGTCTCATTGTCAGAATGCTGGAACCATCTGTCCGTTAACGGATACGCCCGCGACACGTTGATCAAAGAAATTCAACGGGCGCGGTCGTGCGCGGCACGCGCGCATGTTGCCGTGGATATTTTTAAGTCGGCACTTGTACGTACACCGCCACTCGTGTCGCGGAAAAGGAATTTCGCGAGACGTTCTTATCAAACTGCTGCTTTCGCGAATTGCCGTCGACGCTGGCAATTGCGGACACGTTGCGCGCGTAGAAAAAAATTTGCACGAGAAAGACTGGTGCAATTAAATTACCAGATTTCCCGTAATTTAATTGCAGCATTAATTAAAATGTGGGCTTTCCTCCATTTTGGCGTTACCTCACTATGAGATTCTATGGAATCGGCGCTCTCAGTAATGGGCGTGTCACAATCCAGCGATCGACCGTACCGATCTGGATCGTCCCTTTTCTTATCGTCCTTCACGAGAGGCGAATGTCGATCTGGATAGTTGACGATATTTTTGCGCGAATCTAAAAGGATGTATTCTTATTAGCATAATTTTTTCTTATGCATAATTCTTCGTACTCCAAGACTCAAATTTACCAATTATTATAAACGATAGAGAGGTAGTTTTGTAGTACTTTGTAATATTGCAATATTGTAAAGATACAAGTATGTCGTATCGTTGTTGCATCAAATTTTCAGCATATTAATAATCAAACATATTTATTATCAAATTTAAGATCAAGTTTGCTATTTTAATATTAAGTATCTTGATAATTTTTTATTAAGGAGAAATCTGCTTACGGCTAAGAAACTTTTATAATTATCAATTTACAATTTTAATATTAAATATCTTCACAATTCTCTATTAAGAAAGAATCTACTTATAGCTAATCAGAATCTTTTATAATTATCAATTTTGAAATTTGGTCCGTAAACACCCTTAATTTTAAAACGACGTCCGATATTAGTCTCGAAATTTCTGTCCTAGACCAATTTGCTTTTGAATTAATGAATGTATAATGCAGCGTCCACTTTGGGACTGCATTATGAAAACAGTAGATTCATATTCTCACCGTCGAACACGTCGTCGTTGGACGACGACGCGGACGATACTCGGCCGATCGGCGTGGATGGGCTGGAGACTTCGCTGGTGCAAGGCGACAGCGCCGATCCGGTGCTCCAGCTTCCGGCGGTGGTTGCGTCCGGGATTCGCAGATACTTGGTTGTCGGCGTCGGCGACGTGGTCGCCGGTGGTGCGTCCGATTCCGCGATGTCCGCGAGATCGTTCGTGCACGCACGCTCCCATTTGAAGGCCGCCTTCACCCTGGTCCACTTGCTGACCTTCGGACCGCCGTTGCGACCCGCGTTCCTCGCCCCACGTTTGTCCGCCTCGCCCGTCCCCTCGACCAGGCGCGAACCGAGATTCTGCTCGATCGGCACGAGCGATCGGCTCCGCTGTCTCGACGACGCGGACGATCGTACGCTCGAACGCTCGCTCCTCCGTGGCGTCAAGGACGCGGCGTCCCGGCAGTTCGACAGCATCGCGTCCAGCAGCGACTCCGCGAAACCGGTGTCCTCGTCGGCGAAGTCATGATGCAGCTCCTCGCCGTTCGCCAGAGCGATCTCCAGCCGACGATTCGCGTTCAGCTGTACCTTCGCGCGCTCCAGACCCCGCACGCGCCGGAAGTACTCGGAGCTGCGCATCCGCAGCTCCAGGATCTGCTCCGTCAGCGCGCACAGCCGGTCCAGGTGCTCGAACGCCTCCTCGGTGAAGGGGATCGCGTCACCCCCCATCGCCGAGGTCGCCGAGTTCGGCATGGTGTCGTAGTCGAACGAGTGACCCTCGAACGGCGACGCGCCCAGCTCGCCGAGATAAACCGCGAGATCCTCCTCTTCCTCCTCGCCGGGCCCTCCGCGGGACGTCATCCCCGAGCGGTAATCCCGCGCGAGCGCGACCGGCGAGCACTGCGGATCCGGAGGCGGGGTCGGAAGTCGACCCTCCTCGGGCTTGTCCTTGACCCTGGCAGCTCCTCTTTGATCTCGCGAACGGCTCAGGCAGCCCGACCTGTCGAGCTTCCTCTCGGCTTCGAACGCGCCGGATTCCTCGGCCGGCCGGGCATTATCTTTCGCCATCGGATGGATGGATCGCGGAGCAAGGATGCGAGATCTAGATACTCCGCGGAACGTGACGGGCAATATTTAACGAACGACAATTATGGGAATTTAACGACGTTGTCATCTTTTATGTGGTTTTAGTGGTTTTACCGAAACAGCGTAACGTGTCGTCACGTGCGGTTGCACGTCCATAAAATTTGAGTAACTTGGATTTGTATCAGAAATCTTCTCGGATTCTAAATATTTATTTTAATTTTTATGTTAGGTAATATTATTTTATTATATATTTTGTTGTTTCAGTAAAAAGAAATCTGTAATATATCGGAATATTTGTATCTTGTTAAGCGATCACAAGGGCTGTTTTTTTTTTCTATTTCGTCATTATTATGCGTATCAAGCGGTTTTTATTAAAAGAATTTTATTACGTATTCTTTTACGCCACTCGTATATTTCGTTTACTCCGGTTTACTCCGAGAAATCCGAATAGCTTTGTCCAAATGTTTGTACCATAATAAATGTTCTTTGTCAGATTTGTTTCTGTACGCTCCGGTAGACGGAAATGCGATCTATAAATTGATGGTACGAGCGAAGTGTTGATTCCTCTCATAAACATCCGATCGTCTAAATATTATGGGAAGCGAACGCGCGGTAATGGATTTCGAATGCACTAACGCCGCGCTTTTCCTTTTTACCGTAAGAACCGGAGAAGCACAAAAATTACAAAGTAGAAACATCAATTCCTTTCTTTATTTATTCAGCACTGAGACTCTCCACCACGATTTACGCTTTCCATAGTGTTCATATGATTGCTTTATCCAGTTTCTTCACCCGTCTCTTTTTTTGTCCAATCGCACGTGATGTTTTTGGCTCAATGAATTAAAAAAGTTTATTAGATCTCACTCATATGGCGTATGACGTTAGCTGCGACAATATTAAATCGCCAATTTAAGTATCTATTTATATAGGTCAAAGAAGCACATCTTTGTTTTACGCGGAGCACCATTCCTTTGTTACGATCCGCCCGATTTCTTCCACGTCGCTCTATCCGGGTGAAGAGAGTGATGTTACACCCCCGTTTTGAATTTTTATTCTCAAAATTCATTCCATCATAGGGAATACATTACTTTTCACCACCCACGTACACCATTGTTACCATGGTATCGAAAGACTTTCTTGATGAAGCGTTTCGATTAATCGGTCGCAATTACGTCCACGCGAACGAGAACGTGTCTTCCTTCCTTCTTTTTTTTTATATTCAATCGCCGAAATTGAAATCGTGGATTCGCATTCTCGGCGCACTCTCGATCGTTTCGCCCTCGCGACGTCCTCCGAAACGACGGGAATCCGGTCGCGCGACCTCGCGAGGTCGCCTCTTCGCTGGCGAGAGCGAGAAGCACGTCGGACGCCGCGCGTTTCGAGACTTCGGCCGATAGCGCGCCGAATTATTTTCGGTGACGAGCATTCGGCCGTACGTATTTACGGCGGATGCGTGCGTGTGTGTGTGTGTGTGTATGTCGAGTACACGCACGAGTTGCAAAGGCGTCGCGACGCCGAGACGGGAGTCTTCGCGTCGGTAGGCGGGCATGCGCGACTGCTCGCGTGCGAGAGCGCTCTTCCTGTTCCCGTCGTCGAAAATAGACGGAAAGGCGGCGGCGGCGGGAAGACGCGACCGTACGGTCCTTATTTATAAGCGCCGCGAGCGCGGAATGACGCTACCGATCATAAAGGCTCGCCGTGCTACTTTCGCTATCGCGCGTTAGAGAACCCTTTCTAAGAATTGCGGGTTTATTAGGAAAATGTAGAATATAAGATTTCGTACGAGGCTTGCCTAGCGGGATGTTAAGCTGATGTTTTAAGTTATACCTTATTATTATAGCGTTTTTCACTGGCAGAGCTGGTGCGCACTCAGTGCACATTAAAGCCATTGTACACTGATTTAATCTCTAATATTTAAAGTAAAATGCAAATATTTCGACTGATAAAATACCCCCCAGTACATATATTTTACCAAATAGTGCAATAAAGAATATTGAGGATTTTATGATTTAATCCGTTTATATTAAACATATACTTTATATATGTATATATATACACGTTGGTTTGTGTACGACGGCTTTAATGTGCACTGAGTGCGCACCAGCTCTGCTAGTGAAAAACGCTATTAGTTAGATAACAGAAGAAAAGAAGCGCCAAATCAAAACCTGCGTATATACTTGTATATACGCAACAATCTATAATCCTTTTATAAAAATTTTAACTTTTTTTCTTGGTTGAACTGAATAAAAGTTCGTTAACTATAAATGACTTCATTCAAGCAAGTTTTCTTCGTTTAATGCAATATAAATCTCATTTCGAGTTTGTTGCATATATGCAAGTATCTAAGTATTTATTTGACACTTCTTTTTGTTCTATGTGCAATTTAATAAATTTAACAAATTGTTCAACGCTGATGGACTTTAGCGAAGTGTGCGCGTAAAGTGAAATTTTATTTGAGAAAAATACAGTCGCGGTTCTCCAGAAAGTATCTTCCCTTATATACAATATACCTACGTAATACGAACTATTCCTTCATCGGTAATCTGGTTAAATCGGGCACTAGTAGCATCACAATCGCCGCACCTGCGAGATATTCGACATTTAGCACATCAAAATCATATAAACACAACGAATCGCTTCTTCGTACCCATCAAGCTGGCCGACGCGACGATTATACTTAGCAGGCAGGTCGTCCTCAGGAAGAGCTGCAACGCGAAAACCGTCAAGTGGGGAAGTATCCTCGTCAGACCCATTACCGTGCCTCTGGAACCGATACCAGAAGCTATACGAATTTTATTACTACCGCGCGTCCGCAAACATTTGATTCCCGAAAACGCGTCTGATGGTCTAAGATTAGCCGGAACGTGCCGCGGGAACGTTCCGTTTTTGCGCGACCTACCTTAGAGCGGTGGGATAATTTTCCAGCAGCAAAACGCACGTCGTCGTGCATCCGATAGCGTAAGCGGCCAGGAAAATCGACGACAGAATTACACGAATCGCGTGGTGCAATCGAAAAATAAGCATGAGCGAGGCCACGCCGCCCGCCAGTCCCGAAAATACTGAAGGCAATCAAAGAAGAGATCCTTTTACGATAAATATAATAACGTAGTGTATCTTCACGATTATATTGAAAAGATTTCAAGTCAACTGATAATTTATGGAATTGTGAATTTTAGAAAGCGTAAAAATAACAAAGTTTTGAAATTCAATTGAATAGTGCATTTTGGTTGGACGCTCTTAATTGCGATAGCAATCTTTGACGGTCGTTTAAAAGTTTAGATGTTTACTTAAACACGGCCTTCTGCCAACGACGTCGATTCCAACGATGAGCAACGTCTCTCCCAGCACGTAGCCTAACGACACCAGGGACAGCAGCTCGAAACGCGTCTCGTTCACCTCGTCGCAGCTTCGCAAAAAGTCCAAAGCTATGCTCCGGACGTCGACGTTACACGTGCCGTTCCCGCTTACGACGTAGTCCTTCTCCGTTTCCTGGAGAACGTGCGTGTTCCACAGAGCGAGCCAAGCGAATCTTAAACATCGTTCTCGTGAATCTCCTCGCGATCGGAGTGCGAGAGACAAATAGCTCACGAGGGAACCTCCTTTATTACCCGGGCATGTGCAGAAGACACGCTAACATTCCGCACAGTGTCACACGCTTATACGGAGGCTTGTATATTCTGCGGATCCGCTCGCAGGTCTTCGTGAAGTACCTTTGAATAATGCCACTTTCATCTTCGTCGTCTGGACGCACGCAGCCTTCTAAATCCCTGATCTGGATCTGGTAAAGAACAATTCCGG